CTGTGGGAGAGATACTTGGTCTTAGTGATGGAGGCTGTGGTGGAATGATGGGGGCTGTAGTGGAGTGATGAGGCTGGGATAGAGTGGTGAGAATTGTGGTGGAGGGGTTGTGACTGTGGTGGATTGATCGGAGCTGTTGGGGGCTGTGTTGGGATCTGGAGTGTTAATAAAGTATAGAATGTATTGGAGTGGCCGGTAGTCAATGGCTATAGTGGTGTAGGTGGACTGTCATGGGAATGTTCAAGTGACTGGAGGTCAAGATTGCATTGGGGTTGCTGGAAGATGTTTGGAAGTGCCTTGAAATGTTTGAAGAAGATTTACGGTACATTAGAATAGTTGAAAAGTTTTTTGTAGGCTCTATAGTGTCGAAAGGTGTTTAGAGTGCGTTGGAGTACGTTGATACTTTAGCTTTTCAGTGGTCCACATGCTGGAGTTTATTCCCTGGAACAGTACCAGAAAGCTTATATGTTTCCTCTTCAACATTTTCTGAGAAATGACACTAAAACTTTGGAACACCTGGAATGCAGTGAGCTCACCACTTCCTCTTCATCACCGCCAAGGTGGAATAGTATTTCCAAACTGATCCATTACCATCAATCACCACTGGAGAAACTACGTATAGTTACTCAAAAAATCAGAGATAGAGGAATTAATGAGCGACTTTAATGGATTCCATCACACGCTGAATTATTTCTTCATGATAAAGTTGATAAATTAGTCAAAGAAAGTACCCTGAAGGAAGAAGGAAAATGTAGAATATAACTTTGGTATATTTGTGTCTAGCATTACGAATAATGTTGGGAGAGAAGTAAATTATGAAAGTTAATGTCCTAGGAATGCAGCAAGACTGAACAGATTTGTCACTCGCTATGATAACATGATCATAGATAAGCATGTTTACGAAGCAACTTGCAATGTGAACAGACTGACTGATGTAGTAACCAAGCTTAGGATTGCTGATAAGTACCTCTGGTAGTGTGGCAGACACACACATGATAATTACACTAAATAAGATTCCAGATATATTAAGCAAATGTCCTAAAAAACCTGCTGGCAACAGTTAAGACAATTATAGATATGTTGTAAATCCAGATGTATTCCTGTAAACTCTTTTGGAGACCTTATTTCTAGGCCATTGAATATCTGTTAATCATCTGGGGTTTAATTTCTAGGCCTTTTGCGTATCCGTATACTCTTGCACTACCGTTCACAGAATGAATATGGTGTGCACAATATACTAGCCTCTAAATATCCATCACCACTATCACCAATGTCACAACTATCATGACCGTCACCATTACCAACATGACTACCATCATAATCATTATCACAATCACCACTACGACTACACTCACCCTCCACCACCATCAACACCATTAACAATATCACAATCCATTCCACTATTACAGTTACTACAGTTACTACTACCACCTCCGTCATCATCCACACCCATACCACTCCCACCGCCACACCCACTACTCTACAATACACACCTCCACTACCACACCACCGCCAACACTACCATACCACCACCATCACCACTACCACCGTTACCACACCACTGCCACTACTTCCACACCACCACCACTACCACCATCAAGACCACAACACCGCCACTACCCCACCACTACCACAGCTGCGTGCCGAGGCTGACGGAAGGGGCGTGACATAGACGGATGGCTGAACCTGACACCAACCAATTACACCTCGGGAATAGTAGAAAAATGTAGGATTTTCCACCTTGTCGGGTGCCCGAGCTCAGGAAGGAAACATAACTTGTAGTTTCTAAGCTCCTCGTTGGACGTTGATGTGTGTGGAGTAGTTACATCATAATACAAAGTTGAGGGAGGAAGGGAGGGAGGGAGACTAAGAGAGGGAGAGAAGAGGGGAAAGGGAGGGGTAATGGAAGGAGTATGATGTATGCCGGTATACGTAATGTATCCGGGATAATTTTATGCGACTTGTGTATACTCTTATGTTAAAAATGTAAGATTAATGAAAACCAGCGTACAGTATATCGAATCAGGGTGTGAGCGGCTCTTGTTTACTCACTGAAAGAACGATCTTAAAATCTCATGTCCCATGTTCCTGTATAACCTACAAAAAACAAAGTACTTATGGCATTATATAAATTATAGTGTTCCCTGTGAACAAATGCTTATTTATTCTTCTGAAAATCAACAACACGCTTGCATGTAGTCCTGCGCTGCTTGTGTGGATGTGGATAAGCACTGACCACGACCAGGAGTCAGTCAGGTTTCCGCTTTTACATACCATAATATAACTAGACTTACGTAAAAGAGCTTTGTGGCGATTGAGCTTGGAAGATGGGATAGAGAATGGAGAGATTTTGTGGGAGGAGTGTCACTTGGAGAGAAAATTACATGACTTTAACACAGCTTCTGTGTCTCAGTCGTCTGTACAACTTTCCAGATATGTCTTCTACTAGTGCTTATGTTATGAAGATTTACGTAAAGGTAATTTTATATTGCTGGAAGAAATTGTATTATCAGGAATTCACTGGATATCACTGAAGTGCAGTGATATTTAATTACATTCGTTATATAATAAATAATAATAATATATAATAATAATTATATAATAATAATATAATAATAATAATAATAACCTAAAATAAAAAAAAAATAATAAATAATTACAATAATAATATAAAAAAAACTAATAACTATTACAATTATAATTATAATAATAATTTAAATAGTAATAATGATTATAATAATAACAAAAAATAATGAAATAATAAAAATAATGAGAAGAATAAAAATAATAATAATAAAAATAATAATAATAATAAGAAGAAGAAGAAGAAGAAGAAGAATAATAATGATAATAATAATAATAATAATAATAATAATAATAATAATAATAATAATAATAATAATAATAATAATAATAACACTGAGGGTCCTGGGGCCGCGTGTCCCCAGCAGTGTTTGGACGCCCTCGCACCGGGGCCGTAATTAAACACTCGTTAACGATGGGAAAAATTACCTGAGCATTTTAATGTTATATTCAATAATGGCGTCGAGTGTGATAGGAGGTAAAGAGGCCTCCGGCGCCGCTGATGCTGCCAAATAATGAGGATATTGGCTGCAAATTCCGGGAACAGGCAGCGTAGCGAGAGCAGAATTTGGGCGATGGTTGTAAATCACTAGGGCGAGAGTGCTAGGTTCTTACTGCAGTAGTGTGAGTCTTATTTCACCAGGATTATTTGTGATAATTATTTTTTTGGGTGTTATTGTGAGGAATTTGTTGGGTAGATTGGATATTAATTAACCTGGCAAAAGCTATTGGTTAATTAATTTTTTATTTTTTTACAGCATTAATTAATTATATTTTGTAATGGATAGTCACTTGTGCAAAACTTCGGTATCTTTCTCACGGAAACGTTTCGCCATCCAGCGGCTTCATCAGTTCAATTCTCAGAAAAACCGTAGATGTGAAGAGAGAATTTAAGTAATTAGTCATTTAGCCTAGAGATGACGTTATAAGCTTATCAGCCTTGATACAAATGGGCGAAACGTCTAATAATTAAGAGTCGCAAGTGTTGCAGTGTTCTTCATTCAATAGTTCATCGGTATTGTTATACCTGTATTTGTACCAGGTAATAAGTACTGGATTATTTGTGCACATACCAGGAGATAGTATACCTGGAAGGAATATATCTGGAGGGTGTATACCTGGAGGGAGTATACATGGAGGAGTATAACTGGAGGGTGTATACCTGGAGGGTGTATACCTGGAGGGAGTATACCTGGAGGGAGTATACTTGGAGGAGCATAACTGGAGGGTGTATACATGGAGGGAGTTTAAATGGAAAGAGTATACCTGGAGGGAGTATACTTGGAGGGTGTATACCTGGAGGGAGTATACCTGGAGGGAGTATACTTGGAGGGAGTGTGCCTGGAGGAGTATAACTGGAGGGTGTATACATGGAGGGAGTATAAATGGAGGGAGTATACCTGGAGGGAGTACACTTTGAGGGTGTATACCTAGAGGGAGTATACCTGGAGGGAGTATATCTGGAGGGAGTATACCTGGGGGTGTATACCTGGAGGGAGTATACCTGGAGGGTGTATACCTGGAAAGAGTATACATGGAGTGTGTATACCTGGAGGATGTATACCTGGAGGGAGCATACCTAGAGAGTATATACCTCGAGGGAGTATAACTGGAGGGTGTATACCTGGAGAGAGTATACCTGGAGGGAGTACACTTGGAGAGTGTATACCTGGAGAGAGTATACCTAGAGGGAGTATACTTGGAGGGTGTATACCTGGAGGGAGTATATCTGGAGGGTGCATACCTGGAGGGAGTATACTTGGAGGAAGTATACTTGGAGGGTGTATACCTCGAGGGAATATACCTGGAGGGTGCAAATCCGGGGAGTATACCTGGAGGGTGTATGCCTGGAGGGAGTATACCTGGAGGGAGTATACTTGGAGGGTGTATATCTGGAGGGAGTATACCTGGAGGGAGTATATTTGGAGGGTGTATACCTGGAGGGTGTATACCTGGAGGGAGTATATTTGGAGGGTGTATACCTGGGGGGAGTATATTTGGAGGGGTATACCTGGAGAGAATATATTTGGAGGGTGTATACCTGGAGGGAGTATACCTGGAGGGTGTATACCTGGAGGGAGTATACCTGGAGGGAGTATACTTGGAGGGTGTATACCTGGAGGGAGTATACCTGAAGGATGCTTACCAGGGGGAGTATACCTGCAGCAAGTATACTTGGAGGGTGTATACCTGGAGGAAGCATACCCGGAGGGAGTATACCTGGAGGGTGTATACCTAGAGGGAGTATACCTGGAGGGAGTATACCTGGAGGGAGTATACTTGGAGGGTGCATATCTGGAGGGAGTATACCTGGAGGGAGTATATTTGGAGGGTGTATACCTGGAGGGTGTATACCTGGAGGGAGTATATTTGGAGGGTGTATACCTGGGAGGAGTATATTTGGAGGGGTATACCTG